TGGAGACTTCCTGCAGCGAGGACATCTTCTCAGATGCCTCTCCATCTTCGGCCCTGCCCTCGGGTGTCTGTCATGGGGAAGGCACGGTGGCCGGCTCCCCAGTGGCCCTGGGGTGACTTTGGCTACCAACACGCCCCGTCTGGGTGGACCCACCAGGGTCCTGTTCTTACCATCCTCCTGTCCTGGGGAGTAGGGCCTGGCTGAACACCATCATATATTTGTAAATGATTTGGTTCACTGTGCATTGAAGACGGATGCAGAGTAGCATAGCTTGACAATTGAATTCAGCAAAGTACATCAGCATTCAGGGGATTTATAATAACTGGCTGTTTTGTAATATATTTTACTAACAGGACAGAAATGTGTATATGTTGAGCCACCTAGGAGAGTTAAAGAAATACTGGAGGAGCACTTTCATTTACAGGAAGAAGAATGCAATGTTAATAATCCAACTGCAGGTAATCCTCCTTACCAGCAAATGGCAAGTGTTTGTCAGAACAAGTCATTGTGGCAAAATTAGACAACATTTATGTAATATCATGCAGAACATTTAGAAACAGCAGAATTGCGTATAGTCTTTATTATCTTTTCTCTCTGGTTTTGCTTTTTTTTGGTGAGAAATTAGGAGACCAGAAGAACACAGATAATTCCATATGATATATCAGTTTAATAAACCAGAAACAATTGCCAAGCAGTAGGGAGGTTTTGTTACCTTTCTCTTTGAAAGAAATGCTGTAGTACATTTGCTTATTAGTACACTTGTGTAGGATTAAGACCCATTTCTAAACTCACTCAAAATGAATTTAAAACAGTTGGATTCACAGACAAAAATGTACCTAAATTAGGTGATATAATCAGTACCTAGCAGATGTAAAGACCTTTTGAGCCTGCAATTCTTATTACTGTGACTAGGCTCTGTAGGGAATTACAGCACACACCTGCAAATGACTGACTTGGGTAGCATCTGTGTGTAGTAAGCAGAGGGAAAAAGGTACTTTGGATATTCTTTTGACTTGTCCTAGACACCTGTCAGTGCATGTGTCATGCTCTAAAAGTGTTCTTTTCCTCTTGACTGAAAAGGGGACCTCAGCGCAGAGCTGAGTTGCAGATGTTAACACTGGTCTGCTCAATCTGCTCATGTGCCTAATGTTACTGAGTGCTGATCACAACTATTTTTTCTGCATTCATCTGCCAATGGACCAAAACTGTCTGGAGTCTACATTTCAGTGTGGCTGAATAAATGGATGTTACTTTACATGCTCTCATGACTTTTGAGGAGTGTCCCAAAGAAATGTATGTTACAAAGGCTTAAAGTACAAAGATAATAGAGAAACACTACATAAATATTTGTTACAGGACTGTATAATATGGATCTACAGCAAGCTCAGTACAGAAATGGTATGTACAGCATAATGTTATAGGCATAGCATAACAATGATGAATGATGAATATGGTAAATATAGATGCTGGTGTACAGATTATTCAGGGAATACTGAATTCATGTTTTCAGCTGTTTGGACAATTAGAGATGCTTACTAAGTGGCCTGGGCTCTGATAGGCAACAGTTGTCACATTGGATGGTTACTGTTTTACACAGTTTAGACTGCTAAAGTGTATTGTTTAAAAGAAATTAGATGGCTAGTAAATTGTAATCTTTAAAATAAATTAGCTTTTAATTTTGTTCTGATGGTGATGGCTTTGGTTTTTTATTTGTTTGCTTAGTTTTTTGTTTGAGTTGGGTTTTTTGGGGAGGGCATGTTGTTTTCTCTATTTTTATGAGACTATTTGGTATTCCATTATGACCAAAAAAGGATGATGCCTACATCAGTGGTATTACTGCTGTTTCTTGTTTATTATAAACAATAATAAACTGAATAATTAACTGAAGCTATATCCTGCTTCAGTTGGGTGCCTGAGTAGTCCTGAGAACTTCTATAAACAGTAGAGAGCGCTCTGCACATTCTCTCTGATGTCAATCTGTTTTCATTAATTATGGAAGAATATTATTGTGTAGTTTTATATTAATTTTAGAACAAGCTGAAGTAATCAGTTATAAAGCTAATATTTTGCCAAATTGGTAACAGTGGCTCTGGAAGGAGTGTGGAATGTGAAGAACAATTTCTCCATCAAAAGCCTGAAACCAGTGTCACAGAACAACAGTGATTTACTTTTACAGCCTCAATTCTACTCAAGACATGCAAGAATGAAAAGTAAGAGTCAATAATAAGAAACTTTCACTATAACACCTCATTTTTAAATTGCAGGGCATCCTTCTGCAGAACTAACCCATCTCTTCTTTTATTAAGTAGGCAACAGACTTTGAAATCTTTGCAGAAGCAATCATTTCAGGGCTAATGTGTTGAGTCCCCTTATTTCATATTCTGAAACCTTTTTTAAAAGTTCCACACCTATTTGTGGAATAATCACTTGGGTTCAACTGATAGATGGTGAGTGTTGGTTTCATGTTCATTATGAACCTTATTGTTCTTAGCATACAGCCCTAAGAAATTCAATTGTTTGGAAAAGCACTCCTCCAGCACACCTCCTGAAAAGAGCTTGGTCCAGGTATTCTTTCAGGCATTTTAGTATTTGCTTGCAATGGTCAGCTGGTGCTCTGGGAAATTTGTTTCTCTCTTTACAGTCTGTAGAGTGTGGGTTTTGTGGAGCATACCTGTTCTTTATAGATTTTAGCTTAGTGTCTGCTCACATTCTCTCCTAACCTAACTCTCCTTAAACTCTAAGAAAACAGAGGTATTTTGCTTTTTAAGAGGAATATTTGTAGTGCCATGAGCTTGCAGAATATATGAACTCAGCATATTTTGCCTCTACATGAAGCTCATTCCCTCTATTCTTGGGGGATAGTGGTTTAAAAATACAGGTTTAAAAATACATGACTAGCACCTCTTTCTTCCTGTCTTGATCTTGTGGGATCAGGAGATAGTGGCATCTTAGTTACAAGAGCAGCATGGGTTAAGCTATTACTGGTGTGAGAAGTGTTTAACCAATACAGCCTTCTGCCACCACACTGCCTTTACTTCAGAGTTTCTTACTTGTAGGACCACATTAATTATAGAACAGACCTAACAACTACAGAATGACTCAGAGATGTTAGCATCATTTTAAAGCTCATGTACCTCAGGCTTCTAATCAAGGCAAACAAAGTTTTCAAAGATCATGATCTTCTCCATTTCCTGCTCAGAACCCTGAAGAAAGAAGAGCTTTAAAACAAAGCAGTTCATCGAGATTGATGTAGGTGCTGCAAATCTGTGAATTTCCTTTGGGAATTTGAATGAGATTTCATTCCCAGGGACTGCTGCTAGGGACAAGTGGTGCCCTCCTCACTAGCTGTGCTGCCTGCTTTGCAGTGGGCAGGCAGGCATCATGAGAGAAGAGGTGGCAGAAAAGATACACAATGGGAAAAATCTGGGAGCAATCTGGCTTCAGCTCCTGTGTTCACCAAACCATCTCCATTCATGCATTTTTTTTCTGTGTAAGGATCTGGGGAAGAAAGGAGAGACTGGTGGGGAGATGGAGTAGGTACAGGCTATAGAAATGGACAAAAGGGAAGAGATGATGAGAGAAGATGAGCCTGCTGTGTTTAGTACCAGAGGAGAGGAACCAGTGAAGGAAAAGGAAGAATCACTGATAAGGGAAATGAAAGAGGAGACATACAGAAGGTTAGAAATTCCTGAAAGAAACAGAAAAGAGAATACAGTTCAGGAACACAGAGATAGAAACTGTAAAAAATAAAGGAAAATATGTAGAAGATATAAAGAGAAGAGAGAAAAAAAAAAATTCATATTGCTGAATTTACTTAAGTAAATGCATTTTCCTTCTTCCTTTTTCTGCCTTTCCCTTAAAGTGACCAGTGGTTTGGAGGGCTCACTATGTGATGTTGTCTCATCTATCCTTAGAGCAGATGTTGTCTTTTTTACAGATTGCTGAATGTCAGTGCTTTGAAGACCTGAGGCTGCTTTGATGTGTCAAATCAAACATCAGCATAACTACCTACCTTTGGAAATGTAGATGTTTGTTTATAGGATTTTTAATAAAGTTCTATTTGAATATGGAGCTATTTCCTTTTTGTTGTTTTATTCACATCCTCATACTACTTTTTAATCTGATGTTGTAAGCAGTCAAATCTGAACTGTATTTCCACCAGTGATGAAAACATCACAATCCAAAGATTACAAGATGTTCTTGCTGAAAAACGTGCTCTTTTGCAAAGTGATTTTAAGTTCCAGCAGATGGTTTTAATATATGATGAAGTGCCTCATAATGCTTTAGGCTGAATTCATCCATTAAACTGAGCATTTAGAAAGGTGTTGCAGTAAGGCAGAAAAATTATAAAAGAAAGGCCTCAAAAAATCAGGCCTGCTCTGTTAGATCAGTGGCTAATCTGTAATTTTTTTCTAAGTGAAGCTAGCACTTTGCAAGTTCCCATGAGAAAACAATCCTGGTGTGAACAGTTTGTTAACATAACAATCTATTCCCGGGTGAAAAACAACTAGCACCTGCATGAACATTAAATCTATCCCCTGAGAATCAGTGAAGAAAATATGTAAACAATTTAAGAATAGAAAGATTTGATGGACAAGAAAAATAGCATTTACTAACCAACAGATTTATTGGAAAGAAAGCTACTAACCAATTGGAGTCACACATGAGGTCCGTAAAACTGTAAAAAAAGGAGAACAGGCAGCAATAAAAAAAGCCTTTGATACATTGCTTGGTGTGTAATTTCTGTCTGTCTCTACAATGACAAGAAGGCAAGAGTTTGTGATTCAGTATCTAGCCTGATTTCATGAAAGTTTAACATAAACAAGCCTCTCTCCATGTAAGAGCTATTATAGTATCAAAGAACCACAGAGACAGCATGGAACCTGAAATAACTTACCACTCTCACTCTTAAACCATTATTAGAGTGAGGTAACACCAAATGAATATTAGTTTGCTTTGTATTATCATGCCACTTACGAAACAAATCTAGATCCTTCATACTGTATAAAACCAGAAAAGATATGGAGTCCTCCAGAGGCAGTTTCACCATGGACCTCTGTGTGCTACAGGGGCACAGCTGACTCACCATGGCTGCTCCTGGAGCTCCTCCCGCCCCTCCTTCTCCACTGACCTTGGGGTCTACAGCCTGTTCATCTCACACATTCTTACTCCTTTCTTCTCTGGCTGCAATTGCTTTGGTGCAGTACCTTTTTCCTTCTTTATTTTGTTATCCCAGAGGCATTACCACCATTGCTCATTGGCTCAGCCCTGGTTAGCAGCGGGTCTCTCTTGGAGCCGCTCTAACAGAGGCCGCTCTAACAGCCGCTCCAACAGAGGCAACTTCTAAAACTCCTCACAGAAGTCACTCCTGTAGTCAGCCCCTGGTACCAAAACCTTGCCTAAGAAGTGGAGATGAGATTTGTTTCTGGGCCTCTCAGTTCCTCTGGAAGTATCTATAACACACTGAATATTTTTAAAAAGGAAGTCTCAGTGACAACTTTGTGAAACTGGAATTTGATTTCCTTTGGGTTTTTTCTACAATTATCTGTGAATTAAATCAGATGTTTGCCCTTTGATTTTCTGGATCTCTGCTCTGACAGCAGAAATTTGATTTTATTTTTGTATCAGTGAGAAGGAAAAAAAGAGAAACACCAAAACAGCTGCTCAGCAGGTTTCAAGCCAACTCTTCTCAGTGTTTCCATTTGACTTCTAAATGAAAAAGGTTGTTGCACTGAATATTGAGACACTAGAGGGATAGCTCCTTTTGAAAATACTGTTCTTGCTTTCTAGATGCAAATTTGATCGTGAATCACATAATAATGTTTGAAAAGCACTGGATTTTTGGACAGAGACTTTGGTTAGGCTTGTTGCATCTTGCTTCTGCTTTGTTTCATTTTACCCTACTTTCCTCTCCTTGCTTTCCCATTCTGTTTCATAATCTTGTTTTAAAATTTTCCAAATAAGACGACTTCCTGGCTCTATCCTGAATTCCTGCACTAACTCAGTTTTGATGCAGCATTTGGTGCTCACCTTCTCCCTCTTCCTTTTTGTGTGACCTTCTACAATAGAGAAATCCCTGTTAGATCTTTTCTACTGAATATATTACCTCACTTATGAGGCTGTGGTAATTCTTACCTAGTCTGATATATTCATGTTTGTGACCTTTTAATGTGTCTCCTCTTTTATTTGAATAAAACAAAGCAATTTGTTAAAATATAATCTTGCATAATAATAATGCTATTAATTGCTATTACTGTGATATTTATAATATTTTATAATATTTTATTAAATAGGGTGTTGGGTAATGTAAATTAACAGTGCTCACATTTTATCATAGTGACTTTTTACTGTCTAACAGTTTGGCTCTCCTTTTCTCTTTTTTTATTTTATTATTTCATTGCCAAACTCAACACTACTGTTTTGAAAGACAATTGTTATAATTGCTTATATCATTACATTATTGCCTGTATCAGTACCAGTGATTAAACACTTATATTTTTCCAAGGCTGCATCTACATTATTAAGTAATGAAGCACAACAGGAGAGGGTCAAGTTATCGAAGCAGTTGGTATTGAGAGCCCCATAACTAGATTATGTGTGGTTTAGAAGATTTGCTTCAAATTAGGGTAGTTTTGTCTCCAGGACTGAGATATGACCCCAACCCCTGATGTTCAAAGATGTCCAAAGAGAAGTTTTGTCACAAATCCTTGCTCTCTGTCCTGGGAGATGCTCACTGGGTAAAATGAGAGCATCAGTGCTGGTTGCACATCACTCTTGCCACTATGGTTGCACAAGGTGAAGGCCAGTGCTGAAAAAACCCAAGGAAGATTGAAATTATTGATAACTGCTTACAAATATCCACAGAGTCAAATTCTGGCTTGCTGGTACCCACACATGTGTCAAAGTGTTTGAGGATCATGTGGGACTGCTAGGAAAATTTTTCTGCTCTGATTTCTGCTCTGGTCTACACTGGTGAACAACAAAGCTGTGCACTTCAATGGAAAACTGAAGAGTGTCCTGGACAGGATCTTTCATTCACAGTGTGCACAGTACATTTTTTCATGCCTGTGCCTTGACTTGGAAATATTAACTTCTCATGGTTTTAATCCAGCATTGCTCACAGTCACAACTGAAACTGTAGCCAGGCAGAATATGTTAACACTGCCTTTGTTGCATATGCAGAAACATGAATTTGTCTGTCCAGAAATTGTTCAGGCATCAGCTTTCAACTGGATCTTCTCATCATATTTCCAAATTTTCAATTTCCAAGCAGAAAGATCATAATCGTACATATGAAACAGAAGGTAATCAAATAACAGACATTTAAACTTCATGCTGAAATACATAGTGTATCATTTATACAGAACAAAACTTTTATCACACCTTTTCATAGAGAATTTAGGTTCTTGGCAAAACTTGCATTGAAACCATGGGGACTATTTATGAAGAGACTGCAACATCATCCTTAGTGTCATTTTGGTACCTGACAGCATCCTTCCTCCTACGCTTTGAAGTTGATCTCATTTTCTTGTGATGAAAAACTTTACAAGGTTTCCCCTCCTGACAGAATGTCTGGGTTGATAGCTCTGGCTGAAAACACAACCATGTCTTACAGTACCTTTTAAAATGCCTTTGTAAAACAGTTGACAAATAGCTTCAAACACTTTTCCAGGCTTAAATATTTCTGAAGTGTGACAATACAGAGTGAGTCAGAGTAGAGGAGGAAGCCAGTTGGGAAGTTCCAGGCAGAAATATTTACTGCTGTTAGTGATGGCATCTATTCAACCTTCAAATAGGCAAAATATTTTTTATTTTGCAACAGCTTCATTACTAACACACATTATATTATTTTAAATTCCTGACTATCAGCAACATGAGAACTTGCTGTGATTTTCCATGGAGCAGTTAAAGCACTCCCAAGCTGCATATACAGTGCCAAGAAGCCTGGGTGGTCCTCAGTCCATGGAGCTATCTCCTGGACTGGTTTATCTCCAAAGCACACAAAACCAGATGTGTTCCCTGTGGGAGGTCTTCAGGCATCTGGCAACACTACTCAGCCTTCATCATGTTGTATTTCTCAGGGATGTCCATGGAGTTTTTCCTGAGTCAGAGTGAACAAAACTGCTTGACAAAACCCTGTCAGCACAAAGTAGCTGAAGTGATTGTGTCATGGATGTGCTGTGTATGATGGCAGAAATGAGGCAAACTGAAGTTGACATGGGTTACTGCCAGGCTGGTATTTATTTCTCTAGATAAGAAATGAGACACTAAGAAGGGGAGAGAAGCATCTGACCTACACACAGATCTGGGGACACCTGACTTCCAACCTTGATCCTGACAGTGAGGACCTGCATCACTGTCAGCCGGGTCATCACTGTCACTCCCTACATACCTCACTCTACAGCAACACATCCCGTCTGGGTCTTAAATTTACCACACCAAGATTTCTAGGAATCTGCTGGACTTCTAGATGAAGGGCACAACTATCATTGCTTTCAGCAGTGACTATGATGAATACCCAATTAAAATGTATTTCTGCTGCTTCCTATACTGGGAGGGTTTGAAGACAGCAGCAACAAAACAGTCGGACCTGTGATTTGTAAAAATTCTAAAATATATCTCAAATATACATTTCATCTTGCTCTAGATATAAATTCCATAAAGATTTTTTAACTAGTGGATTACTTACAACATGTAAATGTAAACATACATGTAGCTTCCACAGCAGCAGGTGTAACAGGAAAATTAATTTAAGGTGACAATATTACTCATAGAAATGATTTAGGCTACTATCCTCTCATCTTGAAATGATTAAATTCTTATTTGCCATAATAATAGTTCTGAATATCTGTGTTGTATATACAACTACAACTCACTGTGGATTTCAGCAATAGCTTTGTGGATTTCAGCAACAGCTTTTTTTTAAGATGCAGAGAGATCTACAGCTTTAGCTGATGTTGTGTTGAGGAATACAGAAAGCCATGTTTTGATTTCATGCTAAATAATTCAACAGATTTGTCTCACTATAACAATCATCTTAATATGGATGCCACTGAAGTGCAGATGAAAGTCACAGTGAAGTTTCACTGTGAGACTGCAAAAAATCAAAAGTAACTAGGCAACTCTTTCTATGAATCATCACAAGGGAATTTTTTTTTGGGTTTTTTTGTCTTTCAAATTTGTCATTATTTGGCTTAT